AGACTTAAACCAAATATACACTAATTTAAATAAGCGTGTTGTAGTAAAAAGCATTATATATCTATGCTGTACTTAATACCAAAGCGAATAATGCAATTAACACTAAATCCAAATTATTATTCTTTAATAAATAATAAATTCTAATACAGATTTTGTAATAATAAGCGTGTTGTAGTAAAAGGAGTCATATATCTATATTATACTAAATGTCAAAATGAACAATGATCATTAGCTCGCTAAATTTTAATTAATTATTTTTAATAAATAATATATCCCAATATGAACCTATTTTGTAATTATTGATTTTGTTTTTTGTAATTCACGATTTTGCAGTTTCTAATGCTTTGAAACATATAAAAAGACCAAAGAGAGAGATAGTAATCGACTTGTTTGTACTTTCCTAATCATAGTAAAAATATTAAAAATTTTAAATACAAATAAACTATTTTAATATTTTCTTAAAATTGTAGCCTAACGATTAAAATAACAGATCTAGTCAAATCTTCATGTCTCTATCGACTAGGTACCTGACGAATAGAACTAAAGACAAATATTTCATGTTAGCCAAATCTTATAAAAAACATATCTTACAACGATAATATTACTAGAATGGGTCAGTTAAAATCACAAAATAAGCATCTTAAGAAGATTAAAGATTTACGGAAATGTAACCAAATAAAAAAAATACAAACTATAATAAATAATCCTTCAATATTGCTTGATTATCTGATTCCAAAATTCTTACAATTAAACGACAATAACTTTAGCATCTTGATAAAAAAAATCCTTGAATCCAGAAAAATGAATACTTTCATTCAAAAACAACTGCTCGATTATCTAATTCCATCATTTGAATATATAAATGACGATAATTTTAATTCTATGATAAAAAAAATCGTCGAGTCTCAAAAAATGGATGCTGGTACTCAAAGAAAACGTAATGATATAATTATACATGCTTGTAACTTACTTGACCAACAACTATTCAATGTGCTAAGCCTGTTTCAAACTATGACCTACTCTCAAGAAATTAATAAAGGAGAGATAATCTCTACCTATTTACAAACCAAGGCATGTAACTTTATTGATGCTAGTTTATATCAACAAGGTCATACTATCATCATGTTAGAATTAGAAAATAAAAATTTAATACAAGAAAATCAGCGTTTAAAAAAAGATAAACTTAAAATCTACACTCAGCTTCGTTCATTTTCTAAACAAGTAGCAAGAACAAAACAATTGAAACAAAGACAAGTTTCAAAAATTCATTCATCAATTCGTAAAGCAAAAAAAATCTGGCCTGCCCAATTTCGTTGTGCTGCTAACAAATTATTTAAAATTAATAAAAAAGAATATAATGCAAGCTTTGTGAAATTAGCAACTGATATTAGTAATATAGGACAAACCTCTATATATGTGACTGTGAAATGTACTAGGGCAATCTATCAATTCTTGACTGGAGAGATGCCACAGCATTGGGTAACATCAAAAACTTTAGCACGATGGAATAAAGAGATAGCAGCTTTGTCACTTAATCAAAATCTTCCTAAAGACACTTCTTCTAGGTTTTTTGGATATGGTATTATGGCTGACGAAAGCACACGAGGAGAAAAAAAAATATTAATTATTTGTTTTTCGTATTGGGATGCTAATAAATTAAAACCAACAATTACTATAGTAAAAGTAACAGATATAACACGTTGTAATGCTGAAACAGTTTCGACCACAGTATTTGAAATGTGTAAAGAGAAAGGGATTGATCCTCAAAAATATCATTATTGGGTAACAGATAATACAGCCTATATGTCTTCAGAGGCTAATGGTGCTATTGCTAAATTCAACTCGTTAGCAATATCTCAATCTTTCCGAATTCCTTGTGGATTACATGCAACCCATATTGCCCTAATAAATTTTGAAAATATGGCATTTGAAAAGCTAGATTCTATTAAAGAATTGTCTTTAAAAAAACATTCTTTTAATCTACTTAATCTGGCTTTTCATCTTCACGACAGATATAACTTTTTGGATAAGGACAGTCTGTTAAATCTAAAATCAAAAATATTAAAAAAACTTTATAAAGCAATATTTAATTTTGAGATGTGCAAATATCAACAGCCCATTCGTCAATGGTGGTTATATGAACTTAAAACTGCTATACAATATCTTGACCGTCATGAAGTTTATATTAATTTTGCTCAATTTTTCATTGAGTGACTTAAAAATACCAAAATGTTCCAACGTCATACTTACATAAATGGCAAATATTTCTTAAGTGGCTTACAGATAAATGACTTAATCTCCAAATATGATGTCTCGTTAAATTTGGTCAAAGGTTTTATGAACCCGTTTACGATTTTTTAACTAGGTTTGATCCAACTCTACAAATCCACCACTCAAATAATATAGATACTCTTCCCCGGGCAATCGTGCTCATGAAATGCTAGATAAAATAATAATATGGATTCAAGAGCTTCAATATTATCTAGAAGACATTTATAGGTTGTTTGAAGATGAATTAGTTGATGCCAAACACGAATTAAATGCAATAGATTTTGAAAATTTCTGTGAAGCATTACGAACTAGAATAGAGAGTGCATTAGATAGATTTGTTAAATGGATAGAGGTTTGGGTTCATTTACCCTTAAGCATTTGTCGATTAGGTGAAGAAAACAGACCAGAATTTGCCGTGTTGTTTTAAATATTTTTTTTAATAAAAATTTTTCAAAAACTTCCATCTTGCAAGAGCTCTCTTATATCCAAATTTTGAAAGAAGATTTGTCTAATGAACGTTCAACTACATTTGGATTATTAGAAGCATTAAGACAGTATGATTTTTTTGAAGAATTCGAGACATTTGCGAATTCTGATAAAGCGGAACTA